GGAGGAGGAGGAGGAGGAGGAGGGGGTGGAGGAGGAGGAGGATGGTGGTGGTGACGATGTTGACAGAGGAAAAGATCAATATCTTACGAATGACGTGGCTAAATAGAAACAAGCCTTTGGCGAAGCCTCGGTCCTGGGGATCGACGAGGCTGGAAAAAAGTGAAAGGAAAAAGTTCTATGTACATGTATAAGTATCTTGATGGCCTGTGCTCCACTGGGAGTTAAAAAGGGCAAGAGAGAGAGATAAGTATTACTTAATTAACAGCGGTATCTTCGTCGTCCAAAGAAGACATAGCAAACGCTTCACACTTGATGGAAAAGTATAACTTTAATTCTAAAGGCACATTAAAATGCAATGACTCGCGCTGTCTGCAGGGAACTGGCAAATAAAAGATGACCACTTCTTCAGAGACGTAGTTTGACTTTTTTTGTTGGACTTTTGACCTTAGAATTGATTGCTTGAACAAAAATGAAACCTAATGTTTGCGTGGTACCACTGACTCATAGAGCTAACTCTGAGGGCGGTTGTTTTTGCTGTGGGTTTTTTTTGGGGGAATGTTTTTTGTTTTTTTTGTTGTTGCTTTATTTTTTGTTTTGTTTTGTTTTTTGATGACTTCAAAGGCAAAAGAAGAAGAGAAAGAGAGAGAGAGAGGGGAGAGAGAGAGAGAGAGAGAGAGAGAGAGAGAGAGAGAGAGAGAGAGAGAGGGGGGGGGACAGAGAGAGATCATCACTATTACCAGAAACAAAGAAAAAACAAAGAAGAAGGCCAGTTGAAAGGTGGGCTAAAGACCTTGTGGCAGATTAACTAACTGGGAAGAAAAAGAAAGAAAGAGAGAGAGGGGTGGGGTGGGGAGTAGAGACGTAACTTCAGAGGAAGCATCATTAAATTAATGATGCATCTAATTCTAGGAAAATTTGCTTTTATATCTATCAGTGTGCAGTGTATCTACTTGTTGCCAACAACCCCCCCCCCCCTCCCCAACCCCCACCCTTTCGAGATAATTTATTTTGTACCAGTAAGAGATGGGATCCCTTTTGGACATAAAATATGTAGTGCTCACTTATTTTTTGCTTCAATTTTGGAATCGATTTTATGCGTTGCGTTTTTCGTTCGCCAATTAATGAAGTCTCTAAAATATATAGCCTATGATTTGCGATTCTGAGGGCCTGCTGTGTATTTATTGCGTCCTATTCACTCTAAGAGACAGGGTCTCATGAACTCACCGCAGAATAAGCATGTTCTTGGGCATCAGAGACATGTTCTGAACAAACGTCTGCACACCATGCAGCAGCACATAAACAATGAAGTTGTCATGGCAACTTGTTGGGCATAATCCCGGGGACACAGTGTCACCAAACGTTGAGTTCTCCAGTAAATGGCAGCCCGTGAAGGTCTGAAATAACAAAAGAGTTTTTGTGAGAGTATTTGACCCCTACCTCACCTCCCACCCCACCCCCACCCCTAAAAAATCCTCTTAAAAAACAACAACAACAAACATAGAGTGTAACAAAGGAGAAACTCACCAAGAACAGGCACATCCGAACTAAACTGTCAAACAAAGCACTGTACAAATTCTGCTTCAATCACACGCTCATGCAGGTACTCGCAAACATATACTGTACATCATATTTCTGTGCATGTATAGCAAGGAGATTAAAAGTTAGTTCTAAACTCCTTGATGTATAGTCAAACCTGTGTAAGACTGAATCGCAAGGGATCCAGAAAACATTCCGTCCTTGACAGTGGAATTTAAGGGGAGACGGAGAGGGGGGGGTTCAAAGGCCCAGCCGGTGGGATCAAGGATCGCTTGTCTGGTCGGAAAGCAGTGTTCAAAATATAGCACCTCTCAACTGCTATCCTCTCTGATAATGACATACGCTAGTCTTACTCGTCCAATTACCATCAGTGCTTGCATTTCATAGGACCACTGTTTGACCTATTAAAAACAGAAACGTTTGAACATCTCGTTTGCTTCCACCCTTAGCCCCACCCATCGGTGTAACAAGCATGGTCAACCAATGCCACCTCTTACTGCCATGCAACAACGATTCGAGGAACTTTATTTCTCGGCTGGCTGCGCGATCAGAGCGAACGGCATTGGTCCAACTAATTTCACAACTCTGGCCTCGGGCAACCAATGAATGTTTCCGTGCTGGAGAGCAATTCGAGCACTTTCACTGGTACTCGTGAGATTTCCCACCCACACTACCCTGACAATCTTCATCGCTCAGGGCTCACGTAGATGGAGTAGCATCTCCCCTCAACTTGCACCCATACTTCCCTTCCTCGCGTGGCAGCATGGCATTAAGTTTCGAGCCGGCGGAACCAAACTTGCGAGTTTTGCTTCAAAACAGGGCTGAGCGGGCAAAGCATTTTCCGTCTTAGACAGGTGAAACCTTCGATCGGAAGGAAGCGGATTTTTCTTTCTGTTTCCACGTTAGACAGGTTTCCGTTTTACAGAGGTAATTAAAGAGGAATTTATCAAAAG